TCAATACAGGGCTTTAGAATATCGATACAGTATTGGGAAATGAAATATCGCGATATTTCAGTGTATCGATATTTTCTTACACCCCTAGAGGAAGGTGGGCTCTGGAGAAAATGTTTAGTTTTTGTTGTTTCGTGCAGGTCTTTGTGGGGGAAGCGCCTCTGGGAAAACCACCGTGGCCAATAAGATCATCGAAGCGCTGGACGTTCCCTGGGTGGTTCTGCTGTCGATGGACTCGTTTTACAAGGTAGGAACCCCAGAGCTTCCAACAGTCAAATGTTCTTAAGTGTTTTCTCTCCGCTTGGTTTGGGAGTTCTTCTTTGTTCTTCATCTTGTGGTGGCATGCTCAGACATTTAAAACAGTTAATGAAATGTTGGTACCCGCCCACGCTTCGGCCACAAACCAGCTTTGTTCTTGGCCGCTCCGGAAAAGAAACCGTTTGTTTGCGCTTCAGGTTCTGAATAAAGAAGAACAGGACCTGGCTGCTAAAAACGAGTATAACTTCGATCACCCCGACGCCTTRGACTTCGAGCTGCTCGTCACCGTCCTCAGGAAGCTGAAGAAAGGCAAAAGCATCAAAGTGCCCGTTTATGACTTCACCTCTCACAGCCGGCGCAAAGAATGGGTAAGATCTCACAGAGAACCCAGTTTGTTCTTCACTCTGCACATTTATTCAGAATTATAAACTGAGCTTAATCTGGATTAAAGCTGTGATTACCGTCAGTGGCGGGCAGCACTAATCCAAAAGTTATCTCCGCAATTTCTAAAGCGCTTATGAAAATATTTAGGTCTGAAACTTCAAAAGCGCTTATGCCGTAGAAAAATTAAAAAGTTGTTGAGGATTGCTAGTTCGGCTGATTCTTTGTCTTTTTCTTTTTTTGTAGATTTTTCATTAAAGAAGCATCAATAAAGTAATTTTAAAACTGTTTATTGGAAAACTGAAGCGATGCATTCTGGGTACATGACGTTTGATTTGTGACGGGAAACGAAAGCACTGAGTACAGGAAACTATTCCCTTCAAAATAAGAGCTTGGATTTTAAAGTTTTCCATGTAGTTGCTCCAGTTGACCACTAGATGTCAGTCTTCATCAGC